TCGGGTCTTCCGTCGCTGGGATTCAACTGTTTCGGGTCCTCCTTCGCTGGGATTCAACACTTTCGGGTCTTCCGTCGCTGGGATTCAACAGTTTCGGGTCCTCCATCGCTGGGGCTGAACACTCTCGGGTCTATATACACACACCTTTTTGGTCATGGTTTTACGGCGGAAGGCGGAGAAGAGGAGGGTGATGAGGGTGAGCCGGCTGATGATGCTATCGTGGAGGAGGGCTGAAGCTTCGAGCGCATCTCGACTGACAACACGGCGGCCTGACAAAAAGCCTCTGTGTCACTTGCTGTATCTGAAGCCCGACCCGTTGCCATCGAAACCCAATGAGTGACTGACAAAGCCTTATTATTTTGACTGCGAGTTTGTGAGTGAGTGAGCGAGGGAGTTTAGTTGACATAGAAAAAATGGAGCGATTCTATCAGAATTGTCAAACATTGCATCGGATCAAATCTTTGAGATTCTCACACGAGGAGTAATTTCATACAGTATATTCACGTTGCGAACAGAAGAACTGAAACATGAGTGGACTCCGACTTCTCGTGATGAGTAGTTTTGCAAACATCGTGGATCTGAAAGAAGAGACCATCGCCATCATCCTCATTTCTGAACTGTCATATGTGTGCATGTATGTGTGTATTCATGGCATGCATGTCATGTCTGCCCATATGTGCCCATGTTCTTATGCTCGTAAATGTCTGTTCGCGTGTACACATGTATCATGTACGTACGCAAGCACGCACGCATGTCTGTACGTACTGTCGTGGTCATGGTCATTACTGACGCATTTCTCTATGTAATTTGAGTAGCCTAAACCCTAAACTGAATAGTAGCCTAAACCCTAACTAAACCCCTAAGCCTAAACCTTAAACCCTAAACCCATCGTAGCCTAGACACTAGACTGCCCCGACAGTAGCTTAAACCCTATAGTACCCTTATAATCGCCTAAAGCCTAAACCCCATAGTAACCTAGACTCTATAGTGCCCCTACAGTCGCCGGAACCCTAAACTATAGTACCCTAAATAGTAGCCTGAGCCCTACAAGTAACCCCTATAGTACCCTTATAGTCACCTAAACCCGAAACCCCAAAAGAAACCCTCAGACTAGCCTAAACCCTAAACCCTATAGTACCCTTATAGTAGCTTAAACCCCAAACCGTATAGTGCCCTTATAGTAGCATAAACCCTAAACCTCCTAGTAGGTTTGTAAGGGGCTTTGGGAACGCCGAATCCGTAAATCTCGAAGCCTTGGCTCCCCCTGAGCAAGGATACTTTTTAAGTGAGTTGTGCGTTGCACCCACCATGCACACCGACACTGCAACCCAAGACACCGCACCCCATACCCCCCAACACACCACTAGACCGTTTTAAATTCCTTGAGTCACTTACAGTTACAGCTCACCGGACGCTGAAGGCTCATGACCCAAGCCCAACAAGAAGGAGTGATGGTTTTGTGAAGTTGAGTGCGCAAACCCCTGACCACCGAAACGGCTGGATCCAGCAGCCAATGAAGTTTGGAATGCCAGTTCATGTTGGACACCCGATTGCCGGAAAATTTCTTTTTGCCTGCCAGTCAAATGCGGCGAGGTGAGCCCACCCACTGGAGCAAAAAAAGGCCGAGGCGGAGAGGTTGCCGGCTTGAGGTTTGAAACACGTGACAGCATCATGGACGCTGCCTTCCCCCAACACCCCAGACATCATGAGCATCATCGAAGGCCCGTTTCTCCATAAACGCGTGTTGTAGCGCACCCTTCGAAACGGGCCCGCCACACACCCCCTCAACCCTCTGGCCGAACAAGTTCTGACTATTGAAACGAAAGGCTCTCTGGGGGAGAGCTTTCGTGCCTTATGCCTACGACAGATCACAACACTTTATGTCGCACCTGATCAAGAAGCTCCGTCCGAGTCACGAGTAAGCCTACCCATGTAAACCATCAGGACTTAAATCGACTATGAAACCCGTATTGACGTACTAAGGACCTGGGCCACGGCATTGTCTACGGTTTAGAGTCTTGAGCAGGAGAGGTACGATGCACCGTAGGTCTGGATCCACATCCCTGACGGCGGCCGCCAGCCCTTTCGAACTCTCGACACTCAGCGGGCCGTCAGGCTTTCAAACCCAGCGCGATTGAAACCTCCAACCATCCAAGCATTCAACCACGAGCTTTCATGCTAACTTTGAAACTTTCAATATGTCAATCTCTTGACCTCTGCAGCGACCCGCGAAGCGAACCTGGATCGAAGCGTCAAGCTCTTCAACTTTCGATCCTTCAAACTCGCACGGTCAATTTTTGTTTTTCCACCTTTTGACAGGTTCAAAAGTCGAACTGTTCAAACTCGAAACTTTTGTGCTTTGAGTGCCGATCACATGCGGCCACTTGAGCTCGAACGTATTGAAGTTTCGAGCATGAAAGGTCCACGTGCCCAAGCAATCGAATTCCGCCAGTTCAGAACTTGCAAACAACTCAATCACTCTAACACTTTAGTTTGAAGGAACTTCGCTCGGGACGCTGGACAACCCTCGAACTTCGCTGGCCTGGCCTGCAAGGGCTGTCGCTGTCCCGCTGCGCTCGCCTTCGACTTCAAGTGCTTCCACTGCGCTGCTGCTACGAGTACACCCTCATGGCTGAGACCGATACCTGCGAACGAGTCTCCCAAGGTAATGCCGGCGTGGGAGACGAGTCAACTGGCAAAGCATCGTTAGCGGTGCAAGTCAACAGAGATTCAGACTTGTGGCCTCGGTCTTTGAATCCACCACGATCGCCAACCTGCACATCACTTGATTAGCAAGCTCGTTCCTGGTCTGCAGGATGTATGACCATTCACCACACCACATCCACAGGTGTCCTGGACTCTGACGATATTCCCAAAGCGCAGGTGCAAACTTATCGCTCGGCCCCTGGTCTGCCACGTGGGTGCCTGGAGCTCTCTGCCAGGAGAAAGCGTAGAGGGACCCGTACCTCAGAGCCCGATTCATTCATTCCGGCCATCCCGGCCTACGGCCCTCGCTTGGACGTTCTGGGTTTGAACTCAGTGACTTGCGACCCGAACTTCGCGGCCTGGGTGGATCATAACCCTCCTTCTCCTCTCTCTGACTTCTCGCGTGTCTCTGGTAAGGGCGTGTCGTCGTGGATGCGGCCTGGACTGCAGAAGCACTGTGAACAACATGTGGGCAAGCAAGTCTCAACACCCTAACGGTTACTGTATGCAACCTACTTGGTCTCAGGCAGCTAGCTGTCGAGGACTTGCAGGAGCTTCATCCTGCTCTTGTCCGAAGACAGGCGTCTGAGCAGAAAATGGCAGACTAAACAGTTCAGATGTAGCACCCTGGGGTCCTCCGTGCAAAGTTCCCCCGACACTGTGATACACACTCCACGGATCTTACTTCTATGCGTTTGGTACAGCAGGAACTGCTTACTGTCGTGAAGCACACCAGAAGGTGCGCACGAAGTATTCCGCCCTCATGCTGTGGTGTGGGGATTATGCTCTGTTCGCATCCTGTACACTGTACACACTCCCGGTGTGGACGCATCCTCTGCAAAGAACGGCCCATTGTAGATGCAATACATCGCACTCGCGCTGGCCTCGAGAGACACCGGTGCATGAGAGGAAGCAATGTTGGACATGATTCCGCATCCAGGCGGGGAGCAATTCTTGTAAGTGTGCCCGTAGAATACTGAATCGCGCCAGTACATAGGGGGAACGACTTTTGGGGGTCCCGGTGTTTCCTTCGGTTGTGGTGGTCGTGGTCGTCCTAGTCTCCCAGTGCGCAGCGCAGCGCTTGTGTGCGGTCAGACGGAGGCGCGGGTTAACTATGCTCACACCCAACATTGGGATCGAACGCAAGCGCAACATCCTGCTTGTTGCCGTGTCCTTTGCAGACATAGTCTCCAGAAGCCGCTTCTGCCTGCAGTCAAGCGTCAAGCCCGGTCCCGGAATCAAGCTGATGCGACCCATCTATGCCAATCTGAGCTCGGCACGTCAGATATTGCTTTTGAATTTCCGATCGCATCCCTAAACACCGTGACGAGATCTAGAGCAAAAGACTCCCAGCTTCACTCTGCACCTTCCAGTTGCTTCTCAACATCGCCTCTCAGAGCTGCATTGACACAGAGAGACATGAATAGACAACAGCGACATGAATACCCACGACTGCCTAGCTCGTCCTCCCTCATCTTGACATTCCTCTCCCACTCCTTTGCGGGCGTTTGTCGCTGTCGGCTGCTCTCAAAAACATGTCTTGCCCAGGAAGCTGTCCTGCAAGCGATCTACCTCGGTGTGGATTGCGTCACCCACGTGCAAGAGGACCGCCTTTGCCCACAGAGCTCTGGTATTGCTTGAGAAACAACAACACTAACAAAAACGACCACCACAACCACAAAAGCACAACCACAACGACAATGCAGGCGTGCACCTGATGCTCTGCAAGCTGATCCCGGCACCTGCAAATTCTCGATGGCTACAGGATGCTACAGGCAAGTACACGTTGTTGCATTCCATAGCACCAGCATGCAGCACAGCAGCAGCACCAACGGGGGTGCAAGCAAGTGCTTGCTGGGAATCTCATGCTGTTAGCATTGCAGGCCCCCTATGACCGCAGCCTTTCCAACTCACTGCGAACTTCAGCAAGTCTGCGCCATTCATCTGTGGCGGACCATGCCAGCCGGGAAACCGAAGCCTGCAAACTAAGGCGCAGAACCAGCTCAGCTTTCGTGCTACTGCCCAGTCCTCTGGCGGAGGATCGCCACGTTGATCTCCAACTTTGCTCAAGCCGTTCAGGCCTCCCCGTGTCGAGCTTGTTGTGGCAAGAATGGTTGCGCATGCTCACCCGTCGGGCAGACCTCCAGTTGCGGCTAGAGCGGTGACATCTGGTGCTGGGATTTCCTCACATCAGCAGAGTGCAGTTAAATTGTCCTCCAGATATTCGCATCTTACCAGTGCAAAGGATGTAAAGGCGAAAACGGGAACAGGAAGTGGCGGATGCTCTCGAAGCCACCTGAGGGACCTAAGGCAGACCATCATACAGAAAACAAGTTTGCAAAGCAACGCCAACACGTGCTTGATTGTCTTTGTGCTTTTTGTCCGACTGTCTGCGCGATCGGCCTAAGTTTATCATCATTTAATTTAATGGGCTCTGTGCAAGGGGAAACATGCCACAGCTGGATGCGAGGCTTATGAAACATGTTTTATCGTCTGTGCCGTCGACTGCCGACCTTGCTGCAGCAATTCGGAACGTTGCCAAGTGTGATGGCTTGCACCGATCCTGCAAAGCAGATAGCCGACCAGCAGGAACAACAAGGATGGGCAGCTGGCCCTTCTCCACCGAGTTCCAGTATATAGCACAGTGAAGAAATTTCAACCCATCGCTCTTCACCTGCACCTGTGTCACCAAATCAGCACTTCCTTTCTCAGGCCCCCTGCCCCACTGACTCCTCGGCGCAGACGTTGGCCGCGGCGGCAATTGCAAGATGGAGATGGTTGGGAGCAGCCACTGATTGTCCACACAGCAAAAGGTTGATCTGGATGGCTGCTTGTTGTTGTGCAGAATTTGAGATCTCCAGGACCTAACTCCTTCCGCCAGATTGACGGAGTGCAATCGTGAACAACTGCCGCGAACGGCTCCGTGGGCAGCACATGGGCAAGCTTCTCTTATAACATCTTTTTACGGACTTGAGGTCAAGGTGCATGAGCTGCAAGGTTCGGCACCGGGTGCATAGTGTTGCATAGTTTCTCCGTAAGCAGGTGGAAGAGGCAGAGCTGACTCGCCGCCCATTCGAACTGCGGTGCCATCATCAAGGAGATCATTAAGAAGTTGCCACCTGCACCAAGAGAAAGCTTCAGCTACGCGTCCTTGACACACGCGTTATTGCTGCTTTAAGCATCGTTCTTCTACTCTGCACAAAGTCGTTCGTCTTGCACGCTGGTCAGAAACCAGGGATGACCAATGCCACACACACAAATCAGCACTGCGGTTTCTAGAAAGACCAGCTGATGAGTGGCGGGTCTCATCAAAGCACTGGTCTGGAGAGAGCACGGGACGGTGGAGTGGAGAGTTTTGAAGTGAATGACTGGGCGGCGAGCTGATCCCCGAACATCTTTATTACCCACAGCTCAGCATTGTAATGATGGAGCCTTTCACATGACTTACGTTTCAAAGTACACTCCGAAAGATTCCGAACTCATCTTTTTCTGATTGTCATTCGCCACGCTACAGCACCCACAATTCTACATGCACAGCGAACCGTTCGCCTCTGTTTGATGGCAGATATGTAAGTGAAACTGGTCGCCCGCAACGGTGGAACCACACTTCCTGAATATGGAGCCAGACAGGGCGGGACAACACGCACAGACATCGTCAACACAATAAGCATTCGACCCCCTTCTTGAACCAAAGGTCAAGCAGTTCACCAACACGGCGCTGGTCTCCTCGACTGCTTCAGCTGCCATGCCCTCGGTCTTCGCCATGTCCTCTGACACAGTAAAAATCAAGCACATCTCACTCCTTGCACGGATCGCAAGTCTTCCAATACCACACAACAAACCTCTCAGAAGGAGCACACCTATGTGCTGTTTGTACTTGAAGTCACACGGATTGCATGCACAAGACACGGACGGCCTTGATCAGGGAGTCGTAGGTCTCCTCTTGGGACCGGTGCGACGGGCTACAATCACTGGTGTCAGTCTCGGGTCAAACTCAGTCCTGCGTCATGTCAGGCGTCCTCTCTGGTCGGTGAGGCAGGGCACGTCTCAACTCTGCTGGCTTTGTGGCCTGTCTCTGCTCCTTCAAAGACTCAGCATGACCACATCTCCATGACAGCGGCAAAAAGCTGGATTTTGCAAAGTCACTTGCTGATACTTGCAGCGGAGGCTCCCATTTTTTGGCACACTGCCGCATGTGGATCTCCAGTGACGCCGTTCCGAACTGTTTCCCGCAAATATGGCAGAGAAGGCTTGGGATGTGCTTCGGTGATGGTGAGGCTGGTGAGGTGTTAGGAGATGGACTTCGCCCAGGACTGTTTGCGTGCGGGGCCCGGGCACCGTCGGTAGCAACATCTTCGCAGATTCGGACGTGTTGCTCAAACTTCTCCTCGTCCCAAAAGGTCCGGCTGCAGAACTTGCAGCTGAGCATGTGGCACGCCTGGAAGATCTTCAGGGCTGCTCGATTGTACTCGTCCTGTCTTACATATGACAGGCAGTCAATTGCAAATGCAGCTCATGCCAGTCCTGCGACATCCCGATGCTGCTTTCGGGAGGATGCGGAAGCGGACGCCTCTCATCAATTGGCTTTTTCGCCTCTCTCTGTGACCACTTTCGGGTACATTGCTGCCGATGAATGTCCTTAGCAAGCCCGATGCTCTATTCCGCCAATGCGGGCTGCTGCTAATTGCGACAGTCTCGTACGCCCCGTGCGCTTCAGCTCCAGGACACTAGCCCCTATCAAACCCTGCTCTCTGGCGAGCTAGCGACAATGCTGGCGGTGCCGAAGTCTTTGCCGCAAAGGTGGCAAGTGACCAAGACCAGGCATCCTCTCGGCAACTGGTCCTGCTCCTTTTCTTCCGGCGTTGCCAAACTGTTGATCTTGCAGCTGGCCAAATGCAATCTGAACTGCTTGTCGTCTGCGAGTCTCCGACCGCATCTCGGGCAAGCTTCGGCACTCTCTTCCTTGTAGATTATTCTGGCTCGTTGGTTGTATCCCTCGCTGCCAAGGTCAGCTTCGGGAGCTGGTGGAACTTTTCGCCGCTCCTTTGGCGGCTTTGTATGTTCACGCTCTTCCCAGATCTTCCGGCAACGTGGCAAGTGAATGGCAATCGAAGCGCGGCTGAAATGTCGGCCACAAAGGTGGCAAACAACTGCCAGTGGGCGATTGGACATTGAGGCGGCAGTCTCTGCCTTGGGATCTTGAGGGATGGATCTGGTCGGCATCTCTTCCGCGACGTTCTCTTTTGCACAGCGAGGAATGGCTTGTAGCTGGCGATCCCAAATTGGTTTCTGTGCCTCGCGAGCTTCTCGGAGCTTCTGACACCGAGGGACGTGGCAGTGGATAGATTTCGTGCCAAAGAGCTGTCCGCACACCTTGCAGGTCACAAACTTCGCAAACCGCTTCGGTCCCGGAGCCGGGGTGGGATCTGGAGATGGCGTCTTGCCTCTCAGGAATTCTCCGAATGTCAACAAGTTCTAGATCTGGAGATGAGCCTTTCGTGGTTACTGCGAACTGCTAACTCCGGCTAACTGCTACTAGTAACTTGGATGTTCTGGAACAGCCCCGAACGAGTGAGAAACGCTTCTACCTGTCCATGATTTGTTGTTCTCTGTCAAAACGCGCTCTTCACGACATGCAGAATTCATGCTGTGGATTCCCTGAGGAAAGCTGGTGCAAGCACAATTATCATCTGGAAGGACGTGTATGCCACGAATTCAACAAAACACAAACAGAAACAATAAGCAGACCTGCCACCGACCGTTCGGAAGCCGGCAACATCGACAAACCCTTTCCGAGACCAATGGCACTTCGGCGGACGGCGGAAGAGTTTCAGAACAATCATGAACAATCCGCATCCCTGCTTCCTGCATTCCTGCCTCGAGGCGTAGAATCTCGACTTCTGAGTCTAGCCTTCAATCTCTGGGAGTTCTCGCGCTTCTGTGGAGCATGGCATATCCTCTGACGCTGTCCGCACTGGTTCTGGTGCACCTTTATGGATGTGTACAGAAAGTTTTTCCCACAGAATTGGCAGGGCACAGTCTTCGGCGTCTGGGGTCTCTGACGTTGCACTGCATCAGCACTATGGCTGCGCAGAACCCAAGCTTCAGCTTGCCCGGGTGCATCGCAGCTTTTCGCTCGCTCAGATCTGTCTGGGCTATCAGAGTCAATTCCCCGTTCGTCGTGGGGGTGTCTCTTCCGCTCTTGCTGTAGCTTTGCGCACTTGCGACGGTGCAGCGTAATCGACGCTTCGGTAAACTCGCGTCCACAAGTTTCGCACGTCACGGACTTGGGCTTCCTTCTGCGACAGGCGCTTGTGGGCAAAGGAGCAGCGTTGAGGTCTTGGAGTCCTCGAAGTTGTGCCTCCTTGATACAGATTTCCTCGGGCTGCATCCTATTGGCAGGAACGTAACAGCCACAAGCTTCGCGAGTTTTCCTGAGGCTGCCACGCGTGCGGCTTCATTGTACTGCTCCTGGATTCTCGGTGCCCGCAAAAGCAACCAACATGTACGGAGATGAATGCCCCTTTTGAAAATCCAGCTCCTGAGTCATGTTCGGTGTCCAGGCAGGTGGGCTCGGAAGGGGACGCCGCTGATCGGCTTCTTTAAGCATTTCCTGCATCTGCCACTTCTGCTGACAGTATTGGACATGGATTTCCTGAGCAGACAATCCGAGTGTCCGAGTGCAGGTGTCTCGCGTCGCTGCAATCCTATGATCGTGTAAGCTGAGCTCAGATCAAAGGACTTGCTTCCAAAGTTGCATCCGCATAGGTGGCAGGTCATATGGAACGGCATTGGAATCGGGACGACTTGGCTCTCTTCTCCGGGAACCTCCAAGCCACAGACTGCCAAATGCTGCTGCAAGCTGTGATCATCGGGAAAAGCACGTCCACAACTCTGGCAGATAATCTGCACCTCGGCAAGAAGCCAGGCTTGGGCACGGTCAAAACACGAAGGGGAAATGAAAGCTATGCAACCTAAAGGCCTTGAGCCTCAGAAAGCAATCCTTCCAGACTCCACAGCTTCAATGAGCCTGCCAGAGGCAAACCACGGATGCGGCTTGAACCTGTCTGTTACCTAACTAGCCCCGTGCACACGAAACACAAAGTGGGTTGACTGATGTGCTTTTCATTGGCCGAAGCACGTGTGGAGCTTCCGGAACATCTGCTCTAGGACAGCTCCGTAGATGAGCTGGCAGCTGGTCAACATGCATATCCTTGCCGCAGTGAGCACATCGCCTCCGAAATCGAGCTCTCACGACCTTGTCGTGAAGATCGTGTCTAAATGACTGAATCTGCCAATTGCGCTACACTGAGCAGAACTGATGCCTCTGCAGGGGCACCTGCCCTTAGAACACAGCTCAGTTCGCCGCCCGGTTGAAATCTGCTTGTGTCATATCCGGCGCGAGGTTGGGGCATTCTGCCACAGATTCCCGATGCTGTCTTGGCTTCAGTTGCTGCGCATCCTCCCATTTTTTGATACATTGCTCGAGGTGCACGTCGATGGAGGCCTGCAGCAATGCAATCGAATCTCCCCAAGTCCGCATCTTGAGAATCAGACGTCGCTTATCTTAGGGCCCTGGCGGCTCCGAACTCCCGAGAGCAAACATGGCAAGCAACGAGGCAGGGCACGCGGCTCTCTGACACCACCATGGCGTCTACCGAGCAACATCAAAGCAATCCTATCTGCACAAGGCACTACGGGCCAACCACAAGAACAGCTTCACGAATGACTGCGAACATGCGGCAGTACAACGCAAAGTTCAGACATCTCTTGGTCAATTGCCGAGCTGCGGGCGGAAGTTGATCGGTGAAAGTGCCGCCGGCTCCCTTCTGGACTCGGCCTTGCAATGCCTTGCTCTTGGCTTTCGGATCTGCCTTCTCTGGCACGAAGCCTGCGGCAACAACATCTGATGAAGCCCTTGCCGGATTCTGCTGCACCGGCCTATAAGTCGTGGCACCAGCGGGGAGCCTCTTATGGGATGACCATCCAGCAGCACCTTCCGAGTGTGCCAACGGAACCTCAAAGAACGAAGCGACGTTCCGACCCACCTCCAGCTTCACAGGGCCTTGGGCCCAGTCGGGAATGGAGTAGCTCACAGTGTACGTGCCATCCTTCCACGCAAGCTTGCGAGCCCTCACAAGCCTGACGCACAATTCGCACATGCACGCATAACGCCCGCAAGGTTGAGTAACCGTTGCTGCTACCAAAGCAGATCTCCGATTCTTGAACCCACAAGCTCACTATCGATCGCCCTGTATCTTGGCCTCATTGTCGGAGACTTCATGCAGGCGCACATGTGCGCTTGCACGGACGCCGAAACCTGACTTCTTTTTTGCCGGTTGCAACTCTTCATTGACATTTTGGCATAAAGGCCGGAACGAGCTCCGCCCTCTCCGCACAGGTTCCCGAACTCGTCCATCGCCTGCATTAACACAGCCGTGCTGTGGCACTGCTAAGCGTAGCTGTCAAAGTCCAATCAAAGCTCATGATTGTTGAGCAGCTGAGACTTCTTTGTAGTTCCGCCTGTATCGTGAACTCTGCGGACCCACCAAGAGTGCAGCGCTGCGACCCATCGCCACGAACCTGCTTACACAACTCACAAAGTATTTCAGTACAATTGCCTCCGGCCTGCGTTGTGGTCGCGCTGGGTGGGCCAGGCCTCAAAGGATCGCTCTTAGCAGGGCAGTGACGAACCAAACGAAGAGGCTCCGAGTGCGGCACGCGACAGTCACCGCAACAGGACCTCGGTGTGGATATTCTGGTCTTCGGTCGTCTCTGTCTTCAATTTTGCGTTTAAGTTTGCACGGCGGGTGCCCAAGGATCTGACACATGGGCAAAGCGACGCCATCCACGCAGGCTGTGATCTCGTAGACCCCAGGCGTGGCGCAAACAAACTGGACGTGGTACGTGCCATCCTGCGCAGATGCAGAAAATTGCACGACTCTGTCGCTCGTGTTGAACCAGACCACGCCCTGCCTGACGGTCTTCCACAAAAGGTCGTGGCTCTGGTTGAGTTTTTGACATCAGGCTTCGGCCGGTCCTCACACACTCGGGCTCGGATCTTCGCCACTACGACACAGGCAAAACCTTGATGGAACTGATCTCTGAAAGAAAGTCCCGTCCCTTTGGACACTGAAGAATTGCACTGAAGATATGGCCCAATGCGGGCCGTGCGCCAACAGTGTTCACTGATGAACAGATCTCAATTTAAAGAATTGCTTTGGGACCTGGAACAGAGCCGGCTCACTCATGCTCTCGCGGGAAACAGTGATGAAAGGCTAAGATTCCTGCACTGTGCAAGTGACGGATGCTCCGCCTTCTTTCATGACCTGCAGGTTGCTGGGGGCAACTCGGCCTTGCAAATCATGCATTTCCGAGCGCAGGGCTTGGCCGTCTGAAGTCACCGTCGTCACCTGCGCATTAACTGCAGTAGCACGCAGGCAGAGAGAGAGAGAGAGAGA